TGACGACATTGGATCCAGACTGGACATTGGGATTCAGACATTTCGACGAGGGACTATTTGGGCCTGTACCGAGACTTGGTGTTGACGACATTCCCATCTTCCCCTCCTCTTTCGTCTAACCCCTCCTTCGTCTGTGTATGGTTGGGGCTGGCGCAGTCTTCTTGTGTGAAGCGCCAGACCCCCTTCACACCAGATAACGATGATGATGATGTGTGTTCAGGGCTGCATTACAATACTGATTATTCGGATCATTCGTATCTAAGTCTTCCGCTGTGCTATCTTATACTTTGTATTGAGAGGTCGGTTCTTGTTCTGGTCTGCACGTTACAATATGCAACAGTGATGGGGGTGGAAGAAGGGTTGGGGGTGGCCGGCTATGGCGGATGGGTGTGGGTGACGGAGGTGGAAGAAGGGTTGGGGGTGGTCGGCTATGGTGGATGGGTGTAGGTGATGGAGGTGGAAGAGGGGTTGGTGGTGGTCGAGATTGGAGGGGGGGTGGCGACAGCGAAAGCTTGTCGAACGCAACCTAACTCTTAACCCCGTGCCCCCTTTTCTACCCGGGCCCCCGGCCACCTCATACTACTCTCGGAAGGCACCGGCCACGTAAAAAGAGGAAGGACTGATCAGGGCTACCGAGGTTGCAACACACACACCTACACATACCGCAGGTCACCGGCTGCAGCAAAGGGTGAGGATGGACTGAACAGGTTGTCGGGGACTGCAACACACACACTCAAACATAGCGGGTGTCACCGGTTGTAGCATGGGGTCAGGGCGGACTGAACAGGCTACCGGGGACTGCAACACACGCACATACACATACCGGGTGTCACCGGTTACAGCAAGGGGTAAGGGTGGATTGAACAGGTTATCGGGGACTGCAACACATGCACATACACATACCGGGTGTCACCGGTTACAACAGGGAGCAAGGGTGGACTGAACAGGTTACCGGGGACTGCAACACACACACGCGCACATACCGGGTGTCACCGGTTGCAGCAACGGGTAAGGGCGGACTGAACAGGCTACCGGGGACTGCAACACACGCACATACACATACCGGGTGTCAC